AGAGGTGGATAGGCGAGAGGGTGGACAGGTGAGAGGTGGATAGGCGAGAGGGTGGACAGGTGAAAGGTGGATAGGCGAGAGGGTGGACAGGTGAGGGGTGGGCAGGTGAGGGATGGACAGGTGAGGCGATAGACAGGTGAAGGGATGGAGAGGTGAGAGAGTGAACAGGTGAGGGATGGACAGGTGAGAGGGTGGACAGGTGAAAGGGTGGACAGGTGAGAGGGTGGACAGGTGAGGGATGGACAGGTGAGGGGTAGACATGTGAGGTGATAGACAAGTGAAGGGATGGACAGGTGAGTGGGTGGACAGGTGAGGGGAGAGACAAGTGAAGGGATGGACAGGTGAGGAGTGGACAGGTGAGGGGATAGACAACTGAAGAGATGGACAGGTGAAGGATGGGCAGGTGAGAGGGTGGATAGGTAAGGGAGTGGACAGGTGAGGGGATAGACAGGTGAGTAGGGTACGGGTAAGGAGACTGGTCAGTGGGAGACAGCAGGACAAGTAAGGAGAAAGATGACTAAAGGAATATGTGGCCGGGCGCCGTGGCTCAAGCCTGTAATCCCAGCACTTTGGGAGGCCGAGACGGGCGGATCACGAGGTCAGGAGATCAAGACCATCCTGGCTAACACGGTGAAACCCCGTCTCTACTAAAAAATACAAAAAATTAGCCGGGCGAGGTGGCGCGCGCCTGTAGTCCCAGCTACTCGGGAGGCTGAGGCAGGAGAATGGCCTGAACTCGGGAGACAGAGCTTGCAGTGAGCTGAGATCCGGCCACTGCACTCCAGCCTGGGCGACAGAGCGAGACTCCATCTCTAAAAAATACAAAAAACTAGCCGGGCGAGGTGGCGGGCGCCTGTAGTCCCAGCTACTCGGGAGGCTGAGGCAGGAGAATGGCCTGAACTCGGGAGACGGAGGTTGCCATGAGCTGAGATCACACCACCGCACTCCAGCCTGGACAACAGAACGAGACTCCATCTCAAAAATATTAAAAATAAAAAAAAGAAAAAAGAAAGAATGCAAGGGCCATGTCGGCAGGTTGAGCAGACCCTGGTGTGGTGTCTGGGGTCTGAGACTCCCGGCTCCACTTTCCCTCCCGTCCCTGCAGAACTTTGCCCGTGTGAAGATGCAGGTCACCATGTCTCTCTCGTCCCTGGTGGGGACAACACAGAACTTCAGTGAAGAGCACTTGCGACGTTCACTCAAAACCATCCTCACCTATGCTGAGGAGGACGTGGGGCTGCGGGACAGCACCTTCGCGGAGCAGGTGACACCTGCTGGGTCCCCGCGCCGCCTTCCCTTCGTATAATCCCTGACCCCACCACCTTGGCTCCCTTCACTTCCTAATGCCCTTATTGGCCCCTGGATGTTCCCCGGCTCCAGGTCCAGGACCTGATGTTCAACCTGCACATGATCCTGACGGACACGGTGAAGATGAAGGAACACCAGGAGGACCCTGAGATGCTCATCGACCTCATGTACAGGTGAGGCGGGCCAGCCGGCACCTTCAGCCGCGCCCACGCCCCAACAGGTGCAGGGAGAACAGGGATGAGAGTAGATGTCTGAGGAGGTGAGGAGGGAGCAGGGGAGCGTACAGTCTCTAACAGAGGCAGGTGAGGGGGACAGGTGAGCAGAAATGAGGGCACAAGTAAGGAGAGAACAGGTGAGCAAACAGGTAAAGAGGATGCCAGAAGAATGTACTGATGAGGATGACAGATGAGAGCCAGGACAGGTGAGGGGGACAGGTGAGGGGCTCACAGGTGAAGGGAAATGAGATCCAGAGACTAGACCTGTTGAGGAGTGTAGGAGGGGTGGACGGGTGATGGAGATGGGGAAGTTGGGGCATATGGGAGGGATAGGTGGATAGACAGGTGAGATGGTGCACAAGGAAGGGGAAACAGTTCAGGTGACTCAAGTTTCCACAGGTAGAGTCAACTCATGAACAGAGGGTCAAGTGAGAAATGAAAAGGTGGGGCAGGGGGGTGAAGGGACAGACAGGTGAGGGGTTAGATAAGCGAAGAGACAGGTGAATAGAGGAAGCGGGGAGATGCTACACAGGTGAGGAGACAAGGAAAGTAGGATGGATGGGTGAGGAGACAGGTAAGTGGGAAGACAGGAAAAGGGTTGGACAGGCAGGTGAGTGGGTGAAGAAATGGACAGGTGAGGACACAAGTGAGGGGATGGACACGTGAAGACATAGGGGACAGGATAGACAGGTGAGGGGATGGACAGGTCAGGAGGTAGATAAGTCAGGAGGTGGACAGGCAAGGAGACAGGTGAAGGGATGGACAGGTGAGGGAGTTGACAGGTGAGGGATGGACAGGCAAGGAGACAGGTGAAGGGACGGACTGGTAAAGAGATGGCCAGATGAGAAGATGAATAGGTGAGGACGTGGACAGATAAGGAGACAGGTGAAGGGATGGCCAGGTGAGATGAACAGGTGAGGGGGTGGACAGGTGAACAGACAGTGAGGGGATGGACAGGTGAGGGGTAGACAGGTAAAGAGGTGGACAGATGAGGGGATAGACATGTGAAGGGATGGACAGGTAAGAGGGTGGACAGGTGTGGGGAAAGAAAGGTGAGAGGGTGGACAGGTGAGGGGATAGACAGGTGAAGGGATGGACAGGTGAGGGGGTGGACAGGTAAGGCGATGGGCAGGTGAAGGCATGGACGGGTGAGGGGATAGACAGGTGAAGAGATGGCCAGATGAGAAGATGAACAGGTGAGGAGGTGGACAGATAAGGAGACAGGTGAAGGGATGGCCAGGTGAGATGAACAGGTGAGGGGGTAGACAGGGGAAGAGACAGTGAGGGGTGGACAGGTAAAGGGGTGGACAGATGAGGGGATAGACAGGTGACAGGGTGGACATGTGAGGGGATAGGTGAGGGGATAGACAAGTGGGGGATAGGCAAGTGAAGGGATGGACAGGTGAGAGGGTGGACAGGTGAGGGACAGACAGGTGAGGGGATAAACAGGTGAGAGGGTGGACAGGTGATAGGGTCGACAGGTAAGGGGATGGGCAGGTGAAGTGACGGACAGGTGAGGGGATGGATAGGTGAGTGGGTGGAAATGTGAGGGGATAGACAGGTGAGGGAGTGGACAGGTGAGGGGATAGGCAAATGAGGGGATAGACAGGTAGGATAGACATCTGAAGGGTGGACAGGTGAAGTGGACAGGCGAGAGGGTGGACAGGTGAGAGGTGGATAGGCGAGAGGGTGGACAGGTGAGAGGTGGATAGGCGAGAGGGTGGACAGGTGAGAGGTGGATAG